GCGGCCTCAGGGTCATCCTCAGGAGTGGGAACAGGAGCGTTGCTGGCCCTCCCTGGCCAAACTTAGCCCTCCGAATGGGGTGGGGGACCAGGGAGGGCATGGGTACTGGCAGAGGGTCTCCCAATGGGTGCTACCCTTACCTGGCAGGGCAGGCACGGTACCCCCGGGGCTGACGGAGGACCAGCTTTGGCGGGCGAAGTACATCTACGACTCGGCTTTCCACCCTGACACGGGCGAGAAGATGCTCCTGGTGGGACGCATGTCTGCCCAGGTCCCCATGAACATGACCATCACTGGTTGCATGTTGACCTTCTACAGGTACCTGTCCCCTCCTCACCCCAGGGCCAGACCCCTCCCCACGCACCCTCCTGGCCCTGGGGTGAGGAGGGGACACATGTCCCGTACCCTGCAGTGTACCCATGCCATAGGAGCACGGGTGGCATCCCCCAGTGCCACCAGCACCCTCCTCTCTCTGGTAGGACCACGCCGGCCGTGCTGTTCTGGCAGTGGGTCAACCAGTCCTTCAACGCCATTGTCAACTACACCAACCGCAGTGGGGATGCACCCATCACCCCCAGGTAAGCATCCCTCTGACCAGGTCCTTGTGGCACCCCAAAGTGCCAGGGGGGGTGCCTTGAGTAGCATCTTGAATAGCGAGGGGCTGTGAGATGGGACGATGGGGACCTGGTGCAGCCAGAGATGGACACCAGTGGGGCTGTCAGGGTTAGTGGTAGAGCTGGGAGAGGAAGCCAGGTGTCCTGATGCTATTGAAGGGCATCCTTTGGGGGACTGGTGGGATGGGGGGACCCTGACTTATCCGTGTCACCTCCTGCTCTTGCAGCCAGCTGGGGACAGCCTACGTGAGCGCAACCACAGGAGCAGTTGTCACAGCGCTGGGTCTCAAATCCCTCACCAAGGTAAGGTGGCCCTTGGCCATCACTGGCCACGGCACCTGGACCCTTCCTGTGGGGTCTCCCTGAGCTCTGAGCTGAGCAGGGGATTCACCCCGTTACCTGGGGTGGGAGGGAAAATGGAGGAAAGGGATTTCCTGGGGGTACCCACGCAAGGCAGCCCCCTCTTCCCAGTGATGGCTCCGGAGATGGCCTGTCCCTCCAACCCTGCTGCATCCCCAGCTGGATCTCTCCAGGCTTCTTTCACCCGTCGGTCTCCCTCCAGGGCTGGGAGGGGACATGGGACCTCCTGGACCCCTTGGGCTGTGCAGCTTTCCTGGGGACAGCCAGCTCTGGCCCCAGACCCTCTGTGTGATGTGCTCCCTGCTTGCCCCCCTAGCACTTGCCAGCCATCATCGGCCGGTACGTGCCTTTCGCAGCCGTGGCTGCTGCCAACTGCATCAACATCCCGCTGATGAGGCAGAGGTGAGCCCCAGGGCTGGAACGAGGTGCTTGGGCTCATGTCGGGGTTCACCGGGACGCTGGTGGGGGATGCGGGGAGCAGTGCCCTGGGCTTGCAGGGGACTTCCTGGCCCTGTTGGCGTCCCTTACCCTGGGGGGTTGGTTTGAGGGTACAAGCACCCGGTTGCATCCCAAGGAATTATCGGTTAAGCTGGCTGCGAACTCCTCATCCCTATCCAGCCCTGTTGAGGACCCCCCCAAGTGTGAATGTGGGTCCAGCTGAGACCTCCCCAACTTATTACACAGGCAGTGGGTGGGGAATACAGGAGGAAGCCAACCTCCCTTGGAGATGTGCCCCTGTGCCATGTCCCTACCCTGTCCCTTGATACCCCTACTCGTGTGCCCTGGGGCCCCCTCACCCCTTCTCTCCCTGCAGAGAGCTCAAGCTGGGGATCCCCGTCACGGATGAGAATGGGAACCGCCTGGGTGAGTCCACGGCCGCAGCCCAGAAGGCCATTTTCCAAGTGGTGGTGTCCCGCATCG